GAGAGAGCAGAGTAAAGATTGAGAAAGCAGATTCCATAACTAAGAGTTCGATTATGGCGATAAGAAAATGAGGGGAAAAGTGTTAATAAATAGAGAAATTTGTTGATCTCCATGAACTCAAGAAATTCCTTCAACTTTTTTTTAACATTTTCCATAAGTTTACAAATTTTGCTTTAAAAAACTTAACTGCTACATTTGTTTGTAATAAATAAAAACATAAGTAACCAAAATAGTTTAAAAGGTAAAATTACCTATTTAGTTGTTGTTATTATTGGATTAAACATCATCAATCATCTTTAAATTATTTTTTTTTCAAGGTTATTCCAAAATATTCCATTTTGTAAAAAATCGGAATATAATTATTTGATGCTATGAGACAAACGATTTCACGTGTTTGGCATTATCCTAATTCCTAAGTCGCAAAACCATGGCCACTTGGAACGACTTGTCGTTTTTATTCCTAACTCGTCAAATTTTAAGGATGCCTATTGGCTGTGGCCCCTTCTATTTTTAGATAATTATAGCCATTGTTATTATTTTGTATCTAAAGTGGACTTTGTGATGGGGATTGGTGTTTTTTTTTAAATTTATCTTTTTTTTACGACCAAAATATAGGGAAGAATGTTTCTCCTAACCAAGTTTGTTTTAACTCTAGCAAATAAATAAATATATTATTAATTAAAACAAAACAACAAATGAATCACTCGGTAGGTATTAGGTAGACATATGAAGCAAAAAAAAAAGAAAAAAAACTGCTACACAAAAGGATCAAACGACTCTTTCTCCAATCGCAATCTCATGAATATAGTAAAGGTACTACTTCGTCAAAGTGTGATATATCGATAGCCATGCAAGTAAGATAAATTGAAACCGACCTAATATATATATTAAAATCATTGAACTTTTCAATGTAATTTGTATACCTTTTTTATACCATTAGTTATAAAGAGCCAAAAATTGACATATGTTGGAATAATATTTTAAAGAAAACAAGCCAAGTCTATATTTAATTACTTATTAGCTATTAAAATTATAGCATTTTTAAACATGTTCTAGTCACATCCTTGTTGTATTACTCTGTTCTAAATAATTGTATCATGATAAGTTAGATGATTTTTGTTTTATTTTTTTGGCATATATTTTGGATCCATGCACATTCAACAGTTTACAAGATTAGTTGTAATGAACTTTTTCAATGAGAAGAAGAAAAAAATGAAGAAATTAGCTGTAACCATTTTTCAGGCTTAACTTTAAGTATTATTGTTAGAAAAATCATTCCTGGGTTTGACTTTTTTTTCTTCCCCCATTTCCCCTGATTTTTGTTATTATTATCATTATTTGCTTTCTCCTTACCATTTAAGGAGCAAATTTTAGTTAATATAAAGTTTTGATTCAAATATTATAATTATTTACTCTATATATAGTTTACTGAGGTGTTTTTTTTTATCAATAATGTTAATAATAAAAGTTATTTTAAAAATATTGTATTTTAATTAAAAGTATTTAAAATATGGTATATTTTGAAACTTTTTTTTAAAAATATAGTAGTTTTAAAAATGTGAAGGGTGGTCGTCTCTTAGAGACGACCATGCAACGTGGCGCCACGTTGGACGCCACGTAAATTTGTTTTAAATTTAGGAGGTGGTCGTCTCTTGGTCGTCTCTTCAGAGACAGCCATGTGGGAGAAAGAGACGACCATCCGGTTGGTTCATTTTTGGAAAAAAAAATAATATTTGTTATATTATATATTATTTAGTAGTTTAAATCAAAAAACTGCTTAGTGTTGAAGTATGTGTATTGCTACCCTGATAACACTCTCATCTATCATCCCAAGTTCAAATCTTTGGTCATGCAACTTTTACTTTTATAACCATTAATCATCTATTTTCTCTTTTTTATTTAATATAAATAATAGTATAAATAATAATATATAAAATAAAAGAACATACAATAATATAAATAATAATAACTTTATTATTATTAAATGAATAATAATATATAGAATAGAAAAAAAGAAGTTTGGATGGAAATGGTAATATTAGGTAAAAAAGAGACAAATAAATAATAATAATATATATATATATATATATATATATATATATATATATATATAAAGAGAGAAATGATTAATGGTTATAAAATAAAAAAGTGTGTTACCAAGATTCGAACTTGGGATGGAAGAAATAATAGGGTAGTAGTACACCACTAACCAGTTTTTAACGTTAAAATTATTTAATAATATATAATATAATAACTTTTATTTTTTTTTCCAAAAATTAACCGACCGACCATCCCACATGGTCGTCTCTTGTCTCTTGAAGAGACGACCACGTTCAAATTTTTAAAAAAATTTACGTGGCGCCACGTCTAAATGGTCGTCTCTCGAGAGACGACCAACCTTCTATTTTTTAAAAGTACAATATTTTTAAAATAAGTTTCAAAACCTACAATATTTTTGATATTTTTAATTAAACAACTATATTTTTAAAATAAGTTTCATTTGGAACAATATTTAAAAAAAAATCCTAGTTTACGCTAGCTAACTTAAATATAAACTAATCTATTAAAACGGAGATTAATATTAAAAAAGGCTACCCATTGGCTGTTACAATTATTGTGTTAGGTGGAGAAAAGAAAAATCCAAACCAACCATAATTTACAATTTTAAGAGAGATTTTTTAATTTTCAAATGTTAGATATCCTCCATATAAATTACATTTACGCACCTCATTAACTTAAATTTTTGGATTAAGTTATGGTTTATTAATTTTTAATATAGTATTAAAGCGGAAGGTCTGATTTCTTTTTATAATTTTCTATGTCGTTGATAGATCCAATATTTCAATTGTACTAAAAATTAGTAATTTATGATGAATAATGATCTTTACATTTTAAATATATTTTAAAACAAAAACTTGTTTTTTATGTGCAACTATCAAACAATTATCTCAAAATTTCCACGCTATTGCTTTGTCTTTTATATTTTAAAACTATCCATTTGACAATCAATTTAAAATTATCTATTTGATGATCAAAGTTAAGTTAATCTTTTAATCAAAGTGATAATGGTATGTTTGTTGAATTAAAATATTTGGATAATGGTTTTTTTACCTTGCTTTTTTGTTTTAATTCAATCCACATAAATGTGGAGATTCAAACATTTGCCTTAAAAAAAAAATTCTTACCCAACTCTCTTCATATTAGCTTGTAATTTGTGTTCTCCAATTTTAACAATATTTTTGTCGGTAAATTTTTACGAGGAAGAAAAAAATAGAAAAGTAGAGGAATTTTTTTTTCAAATTCTCCAAAATCAATGACACTGTAATCTGACCGTTTAAATTTCATTTTAATAGTCAGACATTCGTGTTATTTGAATTTGGTCTCCAAAATTTTCATTGATTTTGTTTTGATCTTTAATATTTGTAGACAAAAAAGTTGTTTTTGCAATACATTTTTTTTTGGGTAAATTATTTAATTTAAATATGATAAAGACATGCCTTTTGTTCATTTATTTGATTAATAAATAGATAAACATTTGAAGTTAGGTATGGTTTGTCAAATATTAAAGTTTGTAATAAATTTAGATTAATACTTGATGAGTAATGAAAAGCTAATAATAAAGACTAAAGCATTTTTTTTATACATAATTAACGAAAAATAAATAATTTGAACGTTTAAAGATTAAAAAGTAAAAATATGAAAGTTTAAAGCTAAACTCATGTACATGTGAATCTAACGACCAGTGGGATTATTCTATCATATATGGACTGAATAAATAAGTTATTATCAATGACATAGTAAAATTTTTGTTCGAGAAATATTAAATTATTGATGAACTTATTGTTAAATCATTTTATTCAATTTTTTTTCCGTCAATGATGCATCTTATTTATTTATCTTCAAATGGTAATTCGATTATTGACTTTCATAAAATAATTAAAAAATTATGCTAGTAATGAAACCATTAAGGAAATAACTTTAGTTAAGAATAATATATAAAATTAACTGAGAATTGAAATATGAAAAATTAAAATTTTCTTGATATATTGGAAAATAAATTAGTTATTTATTATTATTATTGTTAAAAAAAAGATGCATCAATCACTTGGAAGAAAATAAAAATGGAACTAATGGCTTGTTGAATCATTTCACTCACAAATTTTTTAGGACGATGGAGTAGATTTGAATGAATTATATTACAACTTATTTTATATTTTAGAGAAGGGTAATTTTTACAATATTTAAAGAGAAATACAAAAAAATATCTCATAATATAGACTCTCCTACCTGCGTTGATCCTTGCTACTATAACTCCGTTAATTATAATTTAAGTGTAAATCTTAATTAATTTTTAAATTCAAAACCACTCACAAATTACGAAAGTATTTGTAATTATATTTTCAACTTCACGTAACTATTGTCAACCTGAGTTCAATTCAATTGTTGCGAGGGATTATGAGTTTAAATTCCTCATCCTACTTATTGTATTAAAAAAAATTATATAACTGTTACTTGCACCAAAAATAAAAAAGAAAAAAAAAGACTCAAAATTCGAAAGGATGGTTATGAAAAAATAAAATAAAATAATTTGAAACAATCAACAATTGAATTTAATAGTAAGAAAATGTAGGATCCTCTGCTAAACAACTACAAGTGTAAAAAAATATAAAAACAATAAATTGATTTAAAATTATTTATTGTATGGACAATTTTACTAGTTTGGGTGAGACAAACAACTATCTAATTTTTACAATATTTTACAAACAACCATAAATTAAACTTACACGAAATCGTCAGAAAAACTTGAAAAACACTTTTATTCAGTGGATAAGCAATGCTGACAACCAGTTAGCCAAATATCTATCTTAAAAATTTCCCCCTGCCTTATACATATAAATATATTCATATAAAAGATATTAGAAGGGTAAATAGCAAAGGTGAGTATAACTTCGTAATTGACATATATCTAAAGTCAACAGGTTGTGCATTCGATCTCCCAATCTCATATGTTATACTAAAAAAAAAGGTAAATAATTAATTTTTGAATTTTATTTAAAAATATATTTTTAGTACAATATGTGGAGGTGGAAATCGAACTCACTTTTTGTTGAAGATATATGTTAATTACCGTTGTTCTGATTACTAAAAAATATATTTAGACAAGTAAATATGTTAATATCAATGTTACTCATGAAACCCAACTCTATTAACAAAATGAGGCCGCACATCAACAAAGTCTACTTTTTATGCGTCGTTGGATAAATGACATGTCAGTTTCCAGAATAATAATATTTAATATTTTTTTATGGAATGAATTAAATGGAGATTTTTTAATACACTAAAAATATGGTAAATTTAAAAAGATTGAGATTTAAATTGAAAAAATAAAAACTAAAAAGATAAGGACATTTGATATATTTAGCCAAATTATTTTTTTTTATATCATCAACATAATAAAAATAAAAAGGATTTTTAAAAATGTTCTAACCGACTTTTTGCTTTTATTGTAGTTAGTAGAAGTTTGACGAGAAGGACCCAGTGAAACTTTATTTTTATTTTGTTTTAATATTTTGTAAGGCAGAGAAATTGAATATTTGAAAAACTTAAAGCTAAAAAATACAAAGGTAAATACAAAGGTAAAGATGCAAGGATTAAAAGTGTAAAAGTGTAGTTTATCATCCTTTAAAAAATAATTAGGAAAAAAAAAACTCATTTTCAACCTCATATTTTATTTTTATTTTTATCATTTTAGTTCAATCCTAATTATTTTTGCGTACTTTAACTAGTCGAACATTAGTAAATTTTATATTTTTCAGTTAATCAATTTTAATCTTAAAAATTTTAATTTCAACGTATTGAACCAATTAGAAAAAAATGGTGGAATTAATATCTTTAATTAATTAAGTTTTAATGTAAAAATCTATGACTAGTTACAATCATTATTGTAGTTCAATTGTATCAATGACTGAAGTTATTTTTTTCTTTTTTGTTAGTAGTTTATGGAGTTTGTGGATTTGGGTTGTTTTGATAAAATTGAAATTTGGAAGGCATAATTGCAATAAACCTATAACATAGGGATGGTTTTTGCAATTTTTACTGAAGTTTTTTTTTTTTTTATTATTATTATTTTTTTATTTTTGGTTTTACGACACCCGCGTTCTTGGGCCTCGATGCGAATGAAGCATGTGAAAGGACGGTAACACCGCCCGCCGGAACTGTCGGCGAACGGTGGCCCTCCGCTCCGGCCTGAAAAGAACTAAACTAAGTCCGGTGGAACCCGATCCTATCGATCGATAAGGTCGGTTGAGGTACTGTAATTTCCATCTCTTGGAGCTTCAATGCTCTCTGACTAGTGACTGGTTTGGATTATTAGATTAATTTCAATTCCAGAACGTAGGACGACTAGAAATCCGTCGCTAGCTCTGTTTTATGCAATGTTGTGTACGCGAATTATTGATTAGCCTTTTTACATCATTTGCTTCTTTTTCCCTTTGAAATGTTTCTTGCTGAAGTTGAAATCTGGGTCTGCATTTGATTCATCGTTGAAAGAAGTAATGCAGGTCGCGAAGGAAATATCTAGGGATACAGTCCGCAACGGTTCAGCTGATAGATTTCAGTATCTTCCCCCGCCCCTCCCCATTCCAAGACCGAGTATTTGAACCTTCATTTTTGCCTACCTTGAGATTTAGATCAGTCTGCTTTTTTTCTTTCCTTGGTCAAAAGAAATTGACAAGAACTAGGCTACATTTCAATCTAATCCAGTGCCCATTGTTTTCTCATTCATTCATTGTCTTAGATGCTGTACGAAATTGTGTGTTGTTGAAAATTTGAAATCAATCCTTTGGAGATATTTGTTTACCATCAAAGCTGAAAGTTCTGACGCTTGGAAATTCTTTGCTGTGTTTCTTTTTTCATTGTCTTGTTGAACTATCTACCATGAACTGTGAGTTCCCATTCCCTGTATGGTAGGTTTTGTACTCTGGGGTCTGTCTCCATCTATGTTTGTTAAATCTCTGAAGTGGTTGGAGGATCAAAGTTAACTGATTCATCAACTATTTTCCTTTAGGAGTTCCATGGAAAGCTATTATTAATTTGTTGATGATTGTTTAGAGCCTTCAGTTCACCATTCATAGTCTTTTTAACCAATTGGAACTGATCATATCCCGTATCTTTCATTTATCTAGTCATTTATTCTTTATTAAAATGAAATCCGGTCGTTTGTTCTCTTTTATTTTTCTTCCACTTGGTTTACTCAAATATCTAATCATTTTAAGGGGAGAGATCGAAAACCACTGTAGAGAAATTTTTAAATACAACAATCTCCATTCATTAAGAAGCACTGATGCCAATTCCCCACCGCGGGGGGTACAAAAGAAAATGGTGGGGAGGGGTCCTCCACAATGGAACGTGAGCATAGGTTAAAAGCATCAGTCTCTTCCCTTCCAATCGAACTTTAAATGATTCGACAATATGAAATAGCTGTAATTTAACGAATTTATGAACCTGTATCCCTGACCGTTGTAGGTTGTTTATTATCTTGAAGAGTTAAAAGAAAAAAACACAGTAGGTTTACATATCGTTATTTATTGCCCTTCATTTATGTGGAATGCATGTTGCTTGATCCCAATTTACAAATGCTAATGCATGCATATAGATTAAAACACTAAGGAACCAAGGAACACTTTTTTCACCTTTTTAACGATGTAAAGTCATACAACTGGACTTTTATCTTAAATTAATTTTCACCTTACTGATTTACATCATATGTCTGATGGTCCATACTGTGCGTTTCTTTCCCTAGATGACTGACCAAAGTGGGTGAGTTCGTTTACATCATTTTTTAGCTGGGGTGTTTTGTCTGCTGAGTTTGACCACATTATTTATGCGACTTATCAGCTGTCCCCTGCTTCCTTTAAACTCCATGATCAATGCTCAGTAATAAGTTTGCAAAAAGGGGAAGTAGAGATGATGAAGATGATCAAAACTAGTTGAGCTGAAAGTAATTCAATCAATTCAAATGCTTCATTAGAATTCATTCCTTGTTGATAGAATTACTAGTTTAATCCTACAACACATCTGAAAACTGCTGATTTGCCCCAAGTACTCACACTCATGAAAACTAAGAATGTCATTTTCATAACTTGTAGAGCTGATCGGTTGTAACTTTTGACAGCAAGTTCTAAGATGGTGTGATGGCAGGAATCAAGTTTTTTTTCCCTCTTTGAAGACAATGATGAGCAGCAATTGAGTACTGGTGCTAGGATTGACAGCAAGGTGTGTGATTCCATCATCTTGTTTTATTTACGTTTGGCAGTTGAAATCATTTGTTAAGTGCAAGCTAGTCATTGCTTACATGCTCCCCCCTTCTGCCCCATCTCTTTTCTCCTCCCTCTCTTCAACAGAGTGGTTGAAGTTTGTTTAAATTAGGGGAGTCAAAAGAAGTCAAGCTCAACTTGTCACTTTCATCTAGTTATGGTGGTCAAGGCCATGTGAGCCATGATTTCAAAAGGTACAAAAGTTTTTTTTTTTTTCTCTTTTTTGTTTGGATGACAACTAATAGACCATCAATGGCTATCCATTACTCACCATCCAACCAGTGAAATGTGGAAAATCAAACACAATCGCCATTTTTAACACCAAAAGGTAGGTGGTTGAAGGAGCTTTGAAAGCTTTGCATCTCATTTTGTCAAGGTTTCGATGATGCCATTGCCAAAGAGGAAGCCTTTTACTTTTGTTCAAAAAAGAAATCTCTTGTAAATGATTGTGAGAAAACTAGGCTGAGATTGTAGGAAAAGGAATTATGAGATAGCAAACAGAGCAATAAAACAGGGTCCTCATTTGTTAGGTAATTACTAATTAGGTATTTTGTTTCTGTGGTTAGGATGACAGTTTGAGTCCAAATTTTAATGAATTCATATAATTCAATCGTGGTAGTTTATTGTCACGTGCATTATATGTATGATTGTATGGATGTCTTTAATAACATTCTCGTTTTTTATTGTACATTTGAAATCATTAATCGCTGCTTATCTGATTTAGTATTTAAATTGTTAAAATTATTTCAATATTAAATTTTGGACATATGATTTAGTAAGAAGATCTTTTGTTTCTCTCATTATAATTTGCTTTAATGTTCTTACGAATTTTTTGTTATTAGGTAGGAAAAAAAAGATAAATCAAATTAAAAGCCAAAAAGGGTAAAGTTAATGCAGTCTAAACAATGCATGATTGATATTTGCATCTTCTTCAATAATAACAAAATAATAAAGGAAAAAAAGGGGGGAAAAGATCAAAAAGGAAAAGGAAAAAGAATTTTACAAAAAGATGGTAAAGTGAGTTTCTCCTTAACCATAACTTTTCTAACCAAAATGATCAATTGCATCCATGTGGCTTTTCATTATTTCTAATGTGAATAATTAGAAAAAAAAAATTAAGTGTGATGGATAAGTTGAATTTTTTATGCATCAAAATGTGTCCAATTGAAAAATTCATCACATTACTGTCACATTACTATTATGTAAATAAACGCACAAATATTAGATATTTCTAGTTTTTAATTTTTTTCTTATTTCTCTCTCAAATAAAAAAATTTGGTGAGAAATTAATAGTGTGCAATATAGTATTCTAAAAAAAAGTACATGATTGTACTTTGACGAGTAATGAAGATTATTAGAAAAGGAAATTACAACTCATAAATAATCAATTAGAGATGAGACATACAATAGGATAAAGACGAGACTAAAATGAACAAAAATGATTTTTTTCACCTAGCTAGTAATTTATGAGCATTGCATGTATTTTCCATTTTTTTAACGTTTCAGTAGTATTAGTTGAATTTTCATAACTACCTAAAATGAACATTTACGATTTTCATATTAGCATTCTAATCTACCACGTACATCATATATATTAACAGTTTGAAGTATAAAACAAAATGAATGTATTCTCTTAGATTTTCCCCCAAAATTTAAAATTTTAACCTATAAGTAATTTTGCCAAAAGTTTGAACTAAAACTATCTAGAGAGAGAGAAGTAAAGAAAGTACAAATGCAAACTCAATCTCATTGTACTTGACATTGAGGATGATCATAAGCTGATAACCACTCTCAAATCATATAATACAATCCTTCATTTATCATTTTATTTTATATGTTTGGGTAAATTTCAGAAATTGCAAAATTCATCTTAAGTTTTTTTTTCTTCCTAGTAAAAAAAAAAAGAGAAACATTTTTAATCCATGCTTTAAAATGATGTGAAAACCAATTTTAAATTTTATCAAAATTAGTCAGGGAAACTTTAATTATTAGAAGGTTTGACAGGGAACACGTTAGAATATTTTAAGCTAATCTTTTTAGATAATCACTGATGGTAATTTAAACTTTCAATTTTGATCTAATAAATTTATATGGTTAGTATTCTTATTTAAATGTTGACATAATATATTGTTAAAATTGATAAATGATGATTTGATACGATAGAGTAAGTACGGATAAAATAAGGTAAATGAGAAAATAATTTTTTCAATCAAATTGTTGTATTAATATTTAAATAACACTATTAATGATATAAATTATTAGGAATAAAATCAACGACTCGTGAATATTAATTAAATTTTGGTTTAAATACTATTTTCGTTCCTGTACTTTTGGCAATTTTTATGCTTCATTCATTTTCATTTTTATCTCATTTTTTCTATCATAATTTTAACGTGACACGTCATTTACAATTTCTTTTTAAATGTATCTATAAATTTGTATTCAAGATTTTCTATTGTATTTACATTTTATGTTAAAATTTTGTAAGTAGGTACCAAAATGATAATGTTCTTTTTTTTTTAAATTACAAAGATCAAAACATACGTTTCAAAAGTACATAAAATAAAGAAACAAGAGTTAAAAGAGCGCGTATATATATATATATATATATATATATATATATATATATATATATATATAAATCGAAGTTGAAATTATTCGGTATTTAAATCTTAATTAAAAAAATATTAATGAATAAAAAAAATTGAGGGGTATTTATTATAGACAGCGCCCCTAATTGTAGTTTTGTGTTTGGTTTAACAACTTTTTTGGGTCAAAGTAAAGCATTGTCCTGTCTGCACCTTCTTTGTCCTTTTTGGTTTTTTCAATCACTGCCTGAGGGACCCCTTTGCAAATTTACTTTATATTACTTTTTTTTTCTCTTCAAAATTTTATTTATTTCATGACTTTAATACCCCTACAACATTGAGATTATATTTTCCAACAAATATAAATATATAAATCAAAATGATTAAAATATACCATAACCCTAGATCCAAGCTATAATATTAGAACACGATTTATAAATTAAGTTAATATTTGAGATATTTGAAAGTATAGAGATATGAAAATTTATAGGCTACAATAGAATTTAAATGCAATTCAATATAAATAATTTTATACGAAAAGAAAAAGAGATTAGTGAAACTTCAGTACAATGCAACTATTCTTATATTTATCGATTTTAAATTTGGCTCCATCGAGATATACCGCTAGTTAAGATGCCGTAATTTTTTCTTTCAAAATTTCGAATTTACACCATTTATGGTATGTACAACACTCATTAAATGGGCTAAAGCTTTTTAATTTAAATTTCTAGATTGGCTACACTATACAATCCTCCACACCAATAAAACTTTGAAAAAGAAAAATTGGGTGTTTTATAATAAAACCCAATGAAGAAATCCATAAAGAAAAAGGAAAAGAGAAAAAGAGGGGAAAAATTTTGAAAGTAAAAACCCTAGAACTTGAACTCTCTCTCTCTCTTCCTCTGCAGTGAATAGCCATAGCCATAGCCATAGCCATTTATTTATTTAGCTTTGTTTAGGGAGTTGTTTTCATGGGGTCCGGCTTGGTGTGTGTGCCGTTGCGTTTCTGCCCGCCAACGGGACACACCGAAAGCACAAAGATTTCCAAACCCCAATGCATATAAAAACATAAAGACAATTCCTCTAAACAACCCACCGCGCCCCTTCTTCTCTCTCTGCTCTTTCAATCTTCTTTTGAACAGTTCCGGCGGAAATGGGAGCCCCTTTCAGCTTCTTCTTCCTGTGTTGAGCCCGGAGATCCAAGATTTATTGATGGCGATGCATCGATATGAACAATCCGACGATGAAGGCCAAACCCATTTGTTTCTCCTCGATTCTCTGTTCTGTGAGGAGGAGAAATGGGAGGAGGAAGAGGAGGAAGTAGAGGTGGAAGAAACCCATCTTTTTCCTTTGGGGGTTTTTGAGGAAGATCTCTTCTGGGAAGATGAACAGCTTCTTTCTTTGTTGTCTAAGGAAACAGAACAGCAGAAACAGAGCCATCTCAAGCTCGAAGCTCTGTTCACGGATCCTTCTCTCTCTGCTGCTCGTTCTTCGGCTGTGGGGTGGATGCTGAAAGTTAATTCCCATTATGGATTCTCTACTCTTACTGCAATTTTGGCCGTGGGTTATCTCGACAGGTTCCTTTTGAGCCTCCATTTTAGGAGTGACAAGCCGTGGATGACCCAGCTTGTGGCTGTTACTTGTCTCTCGTTGGCGGCTAAAGTGGAGGAGATTCAAGTTCCTCTTCTGCTTGACCTTCAAGTATGTTGAGAAAAAAGCAACACCCATCATTTTGAATTTGAGTTGATTGAGCTTAGTTCTTGCAGATAATGTGTTTGATTGAATGTTTTCAGGTGGAGGATGCGAAATATGTGTTTGAGGCCAAAACCATTCAAAGAATGGAGCTTCTGGTCCTCTCAACTCTTCAATGGAGGATGCATTTGGTGACTCCTTATTCATTTCTTGATCACATTGCGAGGAGGCTTGGATTCAAGACCAATCTTCACTTAGAGTTTTTCAGGCGTTCTGAACACCTTCTCCTCTCTCTACTCTCAGGTTAGAATCTAGAAGAAAAAATTTTGTACACTTCACCTGGAAGTGAAAGGGGAAAAGAAGACAGAAATTTTGGGCTTTTTTCTTGAATTCTCATGTTCTGACTCGAAACATCTCTTGGGTTTTTTTTAGATTCAAGATTTGTTGGCTATCTTCCATCTGTCTTGGCAACTGCCACAATGATGGAAGTGATAGATCAGATTGAACCCTATAAATCACTGGAGCACCAAGATCAGCTTCTGAGCGTCCTCAAAATGAGCAAGGTTTGTTCAAGAACAAAACCTCCTCATTTCAAGTTCATTGCCTGTTTTATTAAAAACACATCGTTTGGATTCTTAATTTTTGAAGCTGGATTTGAACAGGAAAAAGTGCAAGTCTGTTACAATCTTGTGGTGGAGCATTCAAAGGCCTATGGCAATGGCTTTTATCATTCCAACAACCCCCACAAGCGCAAGCATGAACAGCAAGCTCCTGATAGCCCAAGTGGTGTGATAGATGCAGGTTTCAGCTCAGATAGCTCCAATGATTCTTGGGCATTGAGAGCAGCATCAGTTTGTTCATCACCTGAGCCTTCTTTCAAGAAGAGCAAAACTGAAGAGCCAAAGATGAAATTCCATTCTCTTAACAGGGTCTTTTTGGACATTGTTGGCAGCCCCTCTTAATTCTTAATTGTTGCCCCCCACTTTTTTCCCCTCCAAAGTACTAGGAAATGATTATGTTTATAATGCTGCACCATTTCTCACTTTTGTTGCTGCTGCAAGTTGGGGGAACTCTGAACTTTTCATCCATTGTTATCAAATTGCCAACAATGCCCTTGGCATCAGAATGGGAAGAAGGAAGAAGAGCACTGATGGGGATTAGATGAGAATTTTCACAAAAACCAGAAGTGACCAGAGGAAAAAAAGGCATTGGAGGAGACAAAAGTATGCAATCTGGCTTCTTCTCCTCTAAAACTGTATACACTTCTGTCATTCCCATCCTACTTGTTTTCAAATCAGATCACTTTTCTTTTTTGTCTTTGGACAAAACTCATATATTATTATTAAATAAAAGCACAGCATTTTATGTTCATCAGTGTTGACTTGTAATTATCTTTTAATTTTTTTCAATAAGTGGGGCGTCCATAGTTTCAAGTTTTAAGTTTCCAACTTGAGATTTGGAAGATATCTCCAAACATCATCTTGAGATTTTCATTGAGCTGCTGAAACCATGAGAATAGGGAAAGAAAGCCGTGTTTTTACCACTTTAGCTTCATCAGTGGTGAATGGAGGGAAAAATGAACTGACCCACATGTTTTAAGGCAAATGGGTTTGTCTTAAAACTGGCTGTGGAGTGATCTGAGAAGCCAAGGATGTCTTGTCCACTGAAAAATGGGTGCTTGTTCCAATGAATTGAGCCTGTCTGATCTCATCTCAACAGTCTTATTGAAGTTGCATCAATTTTTTCTTAGGGGTGTTTTCTTTCCAATATGACAGTGATTTGAATGAACCACTCAATCCAATCTGAACGGTTTTTTTTGGTGAAATTTGAATTTATTTACTTTTTGACTGAGAAAAGAGTGAATGAGCTGAGCCATGGTAATTCTCTCTCTGGGATTTCTTATGCTTTTTGGCTCCAAGTGAAGGAGGGGTGGTAGAATCCCTTGTATCTCATCTCTACTTTATCTCATCATTTTTTTTTCTTTTGAAGAAACTCTGATTATGGGTTAAAGAGAAAATAAGATCGGGAGTAAAAGGTGATTAAACTAGTATGTTTGAATGCGTTAAAATTTTTTAACTAGAATAAAAATACTTTTGATACGCTTGAACAAAAAAATATGTTGATTTGATATCGAAACACTTTTTACTCTATACTCGTAGAAATATATTATTTGATGAAAACATTTTTTTAAATACCCTCTCAAATACAAGCTAATAATCTTACTAGAAAAGTTAAATGTAAAATGGAGATTTGGTGCAAAAGTTTTCACAGTTAACTCTACATTTTTCATTTTATTGTGGTAGATTCTTTACTTAATGACCATCTTTGTCTATCTTTTTAAAGAAGAGAAAATGAAAAGTCCTCCCCCTCTCATAAGTCTAAAATACTTGAAGGGATCTAGTCTATTTTCAACTATAACGACATGAAAGGAAGAGAAACTCTCTTAATTCGATAAAGATGATACTTTTCGATGAAAATTTGAATAAGAAAATGACATATACTTTTACTTTACAAAAAGTCCATTCTTGTTCGAAACCATTTCCCTCCTTATAAGACGATAAGTTTTCATCATAATCCGCACTCTAAACTAATAACATCAACTTAATACTACTATCATAAAAATCTCAAAAAAAGTAAAAATGTACCATTTAAAAATCCCAAAAGAAGTTGAATCTAACAAATTACAAATYTGCCCTCTCTCTTTCCCCTTGTTTCTTTTTCGACGAAATTAAGTATATTACACGTAAAAGAAGAATAGATCTAGCAGCCTGAAATCAAATTACAAATCAAACAAAGCAATATGAACACCAACAACAAAGTCAACAATGCAAACAAACAAAACCTCATATATCTCATAAACGAGACATAACATAACAACTCATCTAAGAAAATAAATCCCAAATAGACCTTATCGATGGTCGGTAGAATGGTGGAGATGGAAGGTAGATGGGTAGCATAGCTATAGCTATAATAATGATGCACTATAGAGGGAAACAGCTTGGTTGCTCCAAAGCAAAGGACTAAAAGATCAAAATATTGAATGTTTGTCCCCACACTCATAATTCTAGAATTACAATTGAGCCTTGTTTAGGGGTGTGAGAGAAGAATTCTCTCTCTCTCTACCACAAATTTTGCTCATAATTAACTCATTGACTTTTGTTTATTAAATCAAATGGGTTTCAATTTTGGACCAAACCTCCTTTGCAACCTCCTTTTTATTTTCTTATGCATAAATATGTTTAGGGTTTTCTTTGGCAAACAGCTGTAAAGTTTTGTGCATAACAAAAAAAGAACCATGGCAAACTCTTGCCTTGCCTCCCCCTCCCTCCCCATAGGGATGGGAGCCTTTCAAATTTTTTTAAACTTCTTATTTTTTATAATCCAAAATCGATATCGTGTGAYTTTGTCGGTTGAATCTGGCTATCCAATACTGTAACAATGTTACGGGACTTGTCTCCGAATAGGAGGAGAAAACCTCGGCTACACACCTTGCAAGGCGGGGCTCGAATCGGGGAGTCACAAGCCCACTACTCCCAAAATCAACTCTCTTTTGTTTAAACTTTAGATTTGGACCTATGTTCTCTCGTGATTAATTAAACTGTGTTTAGATCGATGTTAAATCTAACATAATTTTAAGTATTCTGTTTCCTAAGTTTGATATTGATTAGTCTAATTAACATAGGTTGTTTAGTACAAAAGTTGATGTGGTGTCACATAAACATTCTACAATAGGATTTAGAGTTTTTTTTTTACGAACAAGTCCAAATTAACTAACCTTAAAACGGGTGGAAGTAACGACAAAATCCTATTAAAACTAATTGGATACGCCCCGAAAATTTAGAGACCAAACTTATAATTTAGTATTGTATAGAACAACTAAATTTATATAACGCAACATGTGCTCGATTTTACAAGTCTATAATTTATAAAGATTAACATATAGAATACCCAAGATGTGTTTTATTAACTTGTAAAATTAGATTAAATAAACTCACATACCAAACCATTTTATCCCAACTCACACGAATCTAACTGGCAAGTCAAACATCTCAATTGGGCAACAACAAATCTCTGTAAAAAAGAGATTTGACATCAAAATTTTTGAAATAAAATACTCACACATCTCCCATTTGCATTTACTA